TAGTCCCTTACCTTTATTACCTTTATTATACAGATCAGGGTTAAAAAACAACATTTAGCAGCAGCAAATTCACCAAACAAACCATCCAAAAGCTACCTTAAAAAACCTTTTCAGTTAACTTCCTAAATATACATCTGGCCCTTTATGGTAGTTCGCACATGCTCAGTGCAAACCGTAAGACACCAATCGCCCATCTTGGATCTTTAGATTGAATCCCCCTGCCTGGATGTTAGCATAATCGCGCTACAAATGGTGCCAAAACACTTTTTTAAAGGGAAAAGGCATGGAATAGGTCTGCCAGAGGACCCTAAAGCCAATAAAGATGAAAATAATTACTTACAAAGCTGAAATCGATCGCGGTGGCCATCTTGGTACACCCAACCTTCACTTAAGGTAACCAGACTCCCTTACCACTGTATTATTCAATTTAAAAGTTGTAAGATCTAGTCCAGAAAAGTCCAATCTTCAATTCATATGAACTATCATAGTAATCTTAACCCAGGGAGTCTCAAACTGCTTGAGCTGTATCTGGGTTCTTCCTTGGGGAGACAGGCTGAACTCCCCCGGGATGTCATAATGATAAACTAATGGCAGGTGAACTATTGTGCTGCCTAACAGCTGGGGATATATGTGGTCTTATATACCATTATTGGAAATTTAGATTCCTGACCTATATGCTGAGTGGGGAGGAGCTAACCAATAGATGATGAGGGCATGGATTGGCCAGGAAAAGAAGATTGCAACTATAAATGTTAAAGGAGGACTCCAAACACCATAATTCACCACAGTGCACTATACCGGTTATAGTGTTAGGAGGGTCTCGACTCCAAAGTAAGCAGTCAATACATTTCCGAATGGTTTGATAACTTAAATGAGGTCCCACCTGATGCCAGTCAACTCCTCCATAAACTAGAATCTATCTTTTATTGAGCTAACACCAGCTGTGCAGTAATTTGCTCATTGACTGGAAGAGAATAGCAAGAATTTAAGTTTCTCTAAGGAGGAAGTTGCATATCCCAAGTAAGTACTGAAACAATTAGCAAATGGACTACTTTGAGGGAGGTATCATAACCACTACAGAGGACTATAAAATGTTATAGTTATGGTGCTTTGAGCGTTACTTTCAAACAGGAAAAGCAAGAAAGCAATACTTTTAACACCCAAAATGCCACATTTTGTAAGTTTAAGAAACATTTTTTACCTTGGCAACTCCGAAATGTGATTGATATTGATTAGTGATCAACAAGAGCACAAACACACTAATACTAATTTTTCTCATGATAAACTCTGCATAAATTGAAACCAGTTGTGACATAACAGTGATGGGTCTCTGTGGTGGAGGGAGGGTCCCCAAGATCATGAATTTGGCCAGTGAGGTTTTCCCTCTGTATGTCGATTGTTCCAGGACACAAAACGTCAGTTCAAGCAGACAGAACTTCCTGCTGCCACACACTGGGCTTAGACAGAAGGCAACCATTTTTGAAGTAGCAGCTAACCTATTTACATTTACACAGTTGCATAAATAAAATTATTAAAACATGACTGTCATGCTATGCAAGAGAGATACCTTTCATAAATTGCTATTTCCTAGGTATAAATTATCTAAGTATAAACTGTAATAATTTTAAATGTAACAGTATGCTCACCTAAAAGAACAGTTTAGATTGTATTATCCATTCTGTGCCCAGCTAACTTTTATGAAAACATTAGCTTTCCTTCAAAATCAGCACAATCTGACACTTGCTGAGATCTACAAGATAGTCTATGATATTTAAAAAAAGAAGAAAAAAAAGTTGCCTTGCAAAACTTCATTATTTCATTAATTTCCTCTTCTAGTATGTATGACATCTGAAACCCATGAAACTTTTATTCACAGTTGCATGCAAGCAAAAAATGATTAGGACATGTCCACTGATTATGTTCTATTGCCATGTTGTCTCAGAAGTTTATGTAATTTCAACATGTAGGTCTATCAGGCTCAACACAGTGTAGTATTGGTAGGTTTTCTCCCCAAAATTCCAATACCTCCAGTTTGTACAAGAATATCAATCATATGATCCTACTTTTCCTTCTGTATTATATAAACTCATTTTATTCTCCTTAGATAATGCTCTCCCTTATATTATTTACTTTTACCTCTCTAATTAGAAAAATCTCTTTATCCCTCTGCTCACCTGTCCCTGCTGACACCATTTTCATTGCTCCCACTTTACTCCCCTCCCCTCTCTTTTCATCCCATGCACTCTACATATACCTTTCCAGCCTTTCTCCACCAACTCTTTCTAAAACCTCTAAATACACACTCTCTCACAAAACTTTTAAATCCTACTTTCACCTTCTCTTACTCTCTATTCTTCTGCTCCTAGCAGCTGGTGATGTCTCTTCAAGTCCCACCTCTGCAAACCCACTATGTGGTAACTCCAGGAATCACAATAATCTCATGTAACTCTTCCTTTAAATCCTCCTTCCATAATGCCCTCTGGAATGCACGCTCTGTTTGCAGTGTTACTAAATCCACTGCTGTGCATGACCTTTTCATCTCTCGTTCCTTAGACTTACTAGCTTTAACAGGAACAGGACTCTCTTCCTCTGACACTGCTACCCCTGTCTTTCTATCCTTTGGTGGTCTTCAATTTACCCACAACCCAAAACATTCTGAAAGCAAAGGTGTTGGTGTAGGGTTTCTGCTCTCGCCTCACTGCTCCTTCAGTCCTCTACCCACGCCCCTTTCCCACTCTCTCTTTCTCCTCATTTGAATTTCATTTAGTTCACCTTTTTAAACCCATCTCTGCTAACATTGCCGTTATCTATCGTTCCCCTGGTTATCATCTCCTCTTCCTTGACCACTTTGCTGCTTGGCTTCCCTACTTCCTCTCCTCTAATATTCCATCCCTAATTCTTGGCGACTTCAACCTTCCCATTAACCTACCCTTGTCATCAGTAGCCTCAAAACTGCTTTCAATGGCCTCTTCCCTTGGGCTATCACAGTAGGGTTAAGTCCAAATATTCGGTATTCTCGGCAATATCGGTATCGGCCAATTCAGATACCGATATTACCTCCTAGGACCGCCAGGCTCATTACAAGCCCGGCGGTCCTGGGGGGAGCGGGCATCAAGCGCTTACTCACCTCCCAGCAGCTCCTCCAGCTCCCCAGTGTAACTCTCGCGAGACCCGCGGCCGTCAGAGTGTTGCCATGGATCACCATGGCAACGCTCCGCGCAACACGCTGGCCGCGAGAGTTACACTGGGGAGCTGGAGGAGCTGCTGGGAGGTGAGTAAGCGCTTGATGCCCGCTCCCCCCAGCTCAGCCTATACCACTGGACCACCAGGGACTGCTATATCCCCCCTCCCTGGCCAGGCAACAAGCAGGGAGGGGGGGACAACAAAAATAAATAATAATTAAATATAAAAAAAATAATAATTTAATAAAAAATGCCCCCTCACACACTCCATTATATACACTACACAAACACACTGTGTATATAATGCAGTGTGTGTGTGTGTATATAATGCAGTGTGTGTGTGTATACAATGCACACAAATACACACACTGCATTATATACAAACACTATACAAACACACACTGCATTATATATACACACACACGCTGTATTATATACACACACACACACTACACACAAACACTGCATTATATACACACACTACACAAACACACTGTATATAATGCAGTGTGTTTGTGTAGTGTGTTTATATAATGCAGTGTATGTTTGTGTAGTGTGTGTATATAATGTAGTGTATTTATATAATGCAGTGTGTGTGTGTGTGTAGTGTGTGTATATAATGCAGTGTGTTTGCATAGTTTGTGTATATAATGCAGTGTGTTTGTGTAGTGTGTGTATATAATGCTCACTACACAAACACACTATACAAACACACACAATCTGCATTATATAAACACACTACATTCACTATACACACACACACTACACAAATACACACACACACTTTGCATTTAGTATATACAGCATTCACTTTATGCACACTACCCACACACTACACAAACACTCTGCTTTCATTATATACACACTACACTAATACACACTGCATCCACTACACACACTTGAAAAATACACACTGCATCCACTAAACAAATACACACTGCATCCTCAACACACACTACACAAACACACAATGCATCCACTACACACACTACACAAACACACACAGCTCCTCTGTCTAAACACACTGCATCCACTACATGTGGCATGTATATTTTGTGCATTTACCTTTAGAAATAGTTTTTATTTTCCAAAATGGTAAATGTACAGAATACCTGCAAATTATATCGCCTATCGGCCTGAAAGTTCACAGAATATCGGTATCGGTATCGGCTCTAAAAAATCAATATCGGTCGATCCCTAATACAAACATATACAACACAAATATATAGGCAACATAGGAGGAGTTACTCACCAAACAAACAGTGCACACCGGTTTCCATTAGTCCGAACCCGGAAGTGTAAGTGAAGCGTCATGTGACGCGTGTCATGTGACGTATGGGCGTGGCCATTACCATGATGTGGTTGCTAGGAAACGGGTAAACTAAACCCGAGCAAATGTGTAGTGAACATGAAACAGCTCGGATTAGGCAGAGAATTATCTGTGCAATGGAGTGAAAGGGCATAAAGCCCTGTGAAATATACAGAACTATAATACCTACCAAGTAGCATGATATAAACGCAATACAGTGATCACCACTAATAGTGAGGACTCAAAGGTCCATTTCTACGAAAAAAGACTATATTAATATTGATCCAGTATCTAAGATACACCAATTAAAGTGACCATATGTATGTGAATCTGAAGTAGTGTAAACATGCACCCGTTAAAAACAATACAAAAAACAAATGTATAATGCGTAACACATACAATTAAATCAAGCATAACATGTACACAAAGTATACAGAGTATTAAAATGAGAATACTATGTGGGAACTTTAATTAGAGAATCCTACAAAATAGATGAAAATTAGGACAAAGGCTTATAGCATCTGAAGTTACTAGTTGGTCTCCCATACAAGTACTAGCCAGGCCTGAGTCTGAATAGCTTCTAAGATCAAGCATTTTCAGACTACGATGGCCATAGGTTCTAGGCAAGAGAGTATGGACACTGAGTATTCAATGATAATCTATAGGTAGTGGACTAAAACCACATTCAAGACAGAACAGAAGAAAAAAAGGAACAAGGAAAAAAGGACTAATCTATATACTCTGTATATCATGTAAATACACGGAAAGAAATACTTCAAATAACAACTGCAGAGTCTATAGTAACAAGAAAAGGGATGTAGAGATGACAGTTAGGCTGAATAATCACTGAAAGTGATTGGAATACAGCCATATGAGGTAATACTGAAAATCTATTGCAATATCAGTCACTGACCATGTGAGGGAAAAACGTACAGAAATTGCATACAGAAAAAAATATATATATATATATACAGACTATACAGAAAAATGTATACAAGAAATTAAATAAAATCAAATTACAAAACTACACTGCCAAAATGGTATTTGCCAGTGTCGGAGGACCTAATTGATCACTATAACCAAGTCACTAGAGGTAAATGGAGTCTAGAGAAATATCAACAAAAACAAAGAAAACATAGGCAAGACATATTGTACACAATATACAGATACCCTATGCTGCAAAGATGTACAGGAAAAGAGGCTCAGGACGATGATCCTAGACTACCGGGATAAGAGGGATGTATAGTATCATAGAAAAACTGAATAAACAATATTCTCATTTAATCCTCTGGGTGTTACTGTGTCCAGTTGGTATGTCCATTTTGCTTCCCGTTGAAGTAACATTCTTGATCTATCACCACCCCTCGGAGGAGGTGGGATATGATCAATCGCTGTGAAGCGTAATGATGGTAGTCTGTGTGTTAAAGCCAAAAAATGTTTGGCTACTGGTTTGTCGCTGTAGTTATCCCGATAGGCAGTGGTGATAGTTGACCAATGTCCACGTATCCTATCTCTCAGGGTGAGGTTAGTTTTGCCAACATACGATAGTCCGCACGGACAGGTAATAAATACATATAATTACATAAAAGATTACATTAGTATACACGTAGAATTTAAATACCTATAAATGCATATATATTAAAATTCTGCGTGTATATTTAAGTAATCTTTTAACATACTTATGTGATTTGATTAATTAAAATTTGATTGACATGCCTGACAACACAGGGAGAAAGTGCAGATAATTTAATTCGCAAGCACTATATTTGACCCTGTAACTCTCCAAGACACCATAAAACCTGTACATAGGGGGTACTGTTTTACTCGGGAGACTTCACTGAACTCAAATATTAGTGTTTAAAACTGGTAAATTGTATTACAACGATGATATTTTAAGTAAAAGTGAAGTTTTTGCATTTTTTACAAACAAACAGCACTTTTATGGAATATATTATTGTTGTAATATGTTTTACTGCTTTAACCCCTTAAGGACGGAGCCAAATGTACACATTGTGAACAAAACAAAATGTAAACAAACCCTGGCATTTGCGCTACATGTCTGTCCAACCGTAATACACCTCTTTCATAGTTAATGCACCCACCCTTATTATATATCATTTTATTCAGGGGAAACAGGGCTTTCATTTAATATCAAATATTTAGCTATGAAACATAATTTAATATGAAAAAAATGGGAGAAAATAAATTTTTTGGGGATTTTTTTAGTTCTACATGACATTTTAACGGTCAATGTCATAATACTGTTTACTTTTACTGCAATAAAATACACATTTATATTCAGTAAAGTCTCACGTGTAAGACAGTACCCCCTATGTACATGTTTTATGGCGTTTTGGGAAGTTACAGGGTCAAATAGCACGTTACATTTGAAATTGAAATTTGCCAGATTGGTTACGTTGCCTTTGAGACTGTATAGTAGCCCGGGAATGAAATTTACACCCATAATGGCATAGCATTTGCAATAGTAGACAACCCAAGGTATTGCAAATGGGGTATGTCCAGTCTTTTTTAGTAGCCATTTGGTCACAAACACTGGCCAAAGTTAGCGTTAGTATTTGTTTGTGTGTGAAAATGCAAAAAATGCCAATTTTGGCCAGTGTTTGTGACTAAGTGGCTACTAAAAAAGACTGGACATACCCCGTTTGCAATACCTTGGGTTGTCTACTATTGCAAATGGTATGCCATCATAGGGGTAATTTTCATTCTTGGGCTACCATAGAGTCTCAAAGGCAACGTAACCAATCTGGCGAATTTTAATGTGAAAAATATGAAACGCAAGCCTTATATTTGACGCTGTAACTTTTGAAAACACCATAAAACCTGTACATGAGGGGTACTGTTGTATTCGGAAGACTTAGCTGAACACAAATATTTGTGTTTCAAAACAGTAAAAAGTATCGCAGCAATAATATCGTCCGTGTAAGTGCTGTTTGTGTGTGAAAAATGCAAAAAACTTCACTTTTACTGGCGATATCATCGTTGTAATACATTTTACGGTTTTGAAACACTAATATTTGTGTTCAGCGAAGTCTCCCAAGTAGAACAGTACCCCCCATGTACAGGTTTTATGGTGTCTTGGAAAGTTATAGGGTTAAATATAGTGCTAGCAAATTAAATTCCCTTTACTTTTGGCATGGGTTTTCAGGCAGGTCCCGCTAATTGTAATTAAGATACCTAATTATGTAAAAATATTACATAAATATATATGTAGAATTAATATATGTATATATATATACATATGTGTATATATATATCTATATAATCTTTTTAAAATATTTTTATTTATATATAGGTATATATATATAGTGATATATATGTATATATTTATGTATATAGATATATATATTATTTCGTTCTACGTGTATTTTGATATATATATATATATATATATATATTAATTTCACAAAACAGAACGAAATAACACATCTATATATTTTTTAATTTTTTTTTTAATTTTATTTTTTAACATATTTACATTTTTTTTTATATTATTTATAAATATATATATATAACAATAATTATATATATATTTAATCAGTATCAGTCTACGTGTAATTTGATATTAATATATATATATATATAATATATATATATATATATATTAATAGTAAAATACACCTAGACGGTGTACGTGTGTGTATGTATATGTGTATATATATACTTAGATCATATATATATATATAATATATACATATGATCTAAGTATATATTATTATTTTTTACACCAATAAATTTAATTTTATTTCCAGCCAGCAGGGGGACCACCTGTCATTACAGGCAGCCCCCCTGCTGGCAATGAGGCAGCCTACCCGGCCATGTGATTGTGGGGTCCTCGCTAGGACCCCACTCTCACATGGCCGGGAGGAGGAGAAGGATCTGCCGCGGGGGGGCTCCCTGGGAGTCCCACCGCGATGGCGTGGGACCGCCGGCGACCGGGTAAGTTAACAAAAACCAGAGGGCGTACAATTACGCCCGGCGGCGTTTAGAGCCGCCTATAATAGGGCGTAATTGTACGTCCTCCGGTTTTAAGGGGTTAAAACACTAATATTTGTGTTTAGTGAAGTCTCCCAAGAATAACAGTACCCCCCATGTACAGGTTTTATGGTGTTTTGGAAAGTTAGAGAGTCACATATAAGGCTTGCATTTCATTTTTTTGACACTGAAATTTGCCAGATTGGTTATGTTGCCTTTGAGACCGTATGGTAGCCCAGGAATAAGAATTACCCCCATGATGGCATACCATTTGCAAAAGTAGACAACCCAAGGTATTGCAAATGGGGTATGTCCAGTCATTTTTAGTAGCCACTTAGTCACAAACACTGGCCAAATATTAGTTTTTTGCTTTTTTCACATAAAAACAAATATGAACGCTAACTTTGGCCAGTGTTTGTGACTAAGTGGCTACTAAAAAAGACTAAACATACCCCACGTTCAATACCTTGGGTTGTCTATTTTTTCAAATGGTATGCCATTATGGGGGTAATTCTTATTCCTAAATGACACTTCCTCGAGGCTGCCGGCTAGCACTGTACCGCAGACACTTCCTCGAGGCTCCGACTCCAGGAAGTGCCTGTGGTACAGTGCTAGCCAGCAGCGAAACCGTATGCAGTACGTTCTAGAGAAGGAATGAGGGAGCAAAGTGACACCACTTGGGTGACTTTTAAAATTGTGAAGATTTACTGAAAATAAAAGTTTTCTTTCAACTTGCTGCCGTCTTGTGACCCTGGGCTTTATATACGAAGCAGATAAAGTTAGAGCAGACTTCTCTGCTCTCCACTTGTGAGTTCAATAATATATATTGTTTCCACAGCACAATTTGTAATATTGTGTTACACTATGTATTTTTATTTGTTTTTTATACACATGTACATATAAATTGGAGCAACCAGATCCAAGGTATATACAGCGGGGTATTGTAAGTGCTCCGGTTTTTTACTTATTCTTTATATATATATTTTCACTATAACACTGGTATATCAGTGGCATTTGCACTTTTGCACCTCTTTTCACTTACATTAGTGCATGTAATAGCAACACACATAAAATGGAGGCTGTGTATTGGTTTAAGCACCAGAGTGTTCTTAAAGGAATATTGCACATTTTTGTCTTAAAGGCATAGCGCACCCTTTTTTCTGTATTACTGTATTTTTAGTGTTTTATGGGCTATTGCACTTTATAAGGGAGCTGATTCATAGGTTTAAACGTTTTTCCTCACGATTTTAGACGTGTATTGAGCGCCATTTATTACTTGTCTTTTTTCTTTGGTGTAATAAATTGGCATAGTGGTAAATTGGCTATCCAGGTTGGATGATGTCCACTGGTAGCATTTAAGAAGCCTTTGACATCCACTTTTTTTCTGGAAAGTCCTAGTTAAAACCTGACCTTTGCTTGTTAAATGTAAATGAGAGTCCCCAATCATTAAAGTTGAGCTCAGTCACAAATTTGTCAATGTCATCCCAGTCCCCCTCACAGATGATTAAACTATCTGGAATAAAACAGCGGTAAAATACTAAAGGATCTTTCCAATGGGGATTCTCTAGGATCCGTGACAACTCCCAAAAGACCATAAAAAGGTTTGTATATGATAGAGCAAAGCT